ATCATATTCAGTTTATACTGAGTACAATATTATATAATTGTATTAGTTCAACTGTAATCTAAAAGTTCACAGCCAATTTTGAAAGAGATGCATCTTAGCTCTGGAAATTGTTATTGAATATGTCAATGCTGTTGTAATGAAATGCTTCTTCTAATTATATGGTTACTAAATAAATAATTTTAAAATTTTATTGCAACTAGTGTGTACAGGGCCTAAGACAAAAATCACGTGGATTTGTGCTCTTTTTGTTCTTTGCTGATTTAAAGTAAAAGGGATGAGTTTTAAATTTTTGAACCAGATTCTTAGATATTAGGGCATATGATTTTCAAAGTCCTGAAAAGTCTCTAATGGGGCTCAAGAGACATCTTGGTGATTAAGAGCACTGAGTGCTCCTGCAGAGGACTGAGGTTCAGTTCCCAGCACCCACATGGTGGCTAATAACCACTCATACTCCAGTTTCCAGGGATTTGATTCCCTCTTCTGGCCTCTGTGGGCATTTCATGACTCCAGTGAACCTACATACATTCAGCTAAAACACTCATACACATAAAATAAAAATAATTTGTTAAGTCCTAAGGGGCTGGAGAGACAGCTCGGTGATTAAGAACACTCTGCTCTTGCAGAGGACCCAGGTTTGGTTCCCAGAACCCACATAATGGCCAACAACCATCTGTAACTCCAGTTCCAGGAGATCTGATGCCCTCTTCTGGCATTGCACACATATGGTACACTTACATACATGCAGGCAAAACACTCACACACATAAAATAAAAATAAATTTTAAAATAATAATTAATAAATAAAATCCTGAACATTTAGGGGGGTCATTAAAACTTACAAGGTAACCTGAGCAAGTATAATACATTTCAATCTATTCTTGGTGTCTAGGGATGCTGTAAATAGGGAATTCCGAGTCCTAAAAGTTTTTCTCAATAGTGCTTTAGCCTCATTCTCTTCCGTGCCGGAGGAGGAAGCCTCCAACAAAGTGATCTTCTTCTGATCACATAAGAAGGAAAAGAAACTGTCATGGAGATGGAGAAGTGTCAGCCTGAGGACGGTGGGAACTTGCCAGATATCTGCCCCAAACCAGGTGTGCCAAAGGCCTTCCTGCTCTCAATACTAAACCCCTAGTATGTCAATTTGTCTGCCTAAGTCCCTCTACTACAATTTAAATGCTTTCGTGGCAAAGTATTAACATAGGTGAGTTATGTGTAGGTAAAGCTGGACAACTGCCTTGAGCCTCAAATGAAAGAATAAACACATATGTCCTTCTCTTCTCCCATGAAGAAAACCAACTGACAAGAAGGAGTTGCATACTAAATACACATATCCTGGAGATTAACCTCACTGGCCAGTGATTCACATGAAACAGGACCAAGTTGTTCAGGGAAATGCAAATACTTTCTCTAAATGTGCCATATTATTATTTTAAATTTTCAAGTAGTGTGCATGTATTTTCCATGGAGAAACACAAAAAGATGCTCACACAATACATATGCAAATAGCACTTGTTCATTTTTTTTTTTGGTCTGTAGCCCCCGCTGTCCTGGAACTCACTATGTAGACCAGGCTGGCCTCGAACTCACAGAGATCAGCCTGCCTCTGCCTCCCAAGTGCTGGGATTAAAGGCATGTGCCACCACGCCCAGCGCATTTGTTCATTTTTTAAGTAGCTTAAAATTTTTATGAAATAACTCCAAAACGACTGCAAGCCATGTTCTTCTAAAACATTTACTAACGGCTTTCGGTGCAAAATCCCCTTTAGGAACCATTAAAAATTTATGGAAAAAATAAAATAAGGTGAAGAAGAAAGAAGATCTATCCCTCTATACAATGCAGAGGCTTTCATGAGAGCATGGTAACATCGGTGGTGAAAACAACCTGCAGAACAAGAGCAGAACAGGGCAAACAGGCACAGAAACCCAAGGGGAAGCCTCACTGGGGGACTGAGAAAGATCGTGAAGTACGGAAACAGAGCAAGAGGGGGAAGAAATGGGTCCGTGGCCTATGAGAATGCAGTAACTGCCTGTTTTCTGGAGCAGAACTACTGAGAAGGGAGGCACAAATCTAGATGTCCTCAAATGGTTGGAGTTCTTCATACCCAACAATTATGCTTTCGAATAGTGATTCTCAACACTGACTTCACATGGGAAATCAGAGATGAGCCTTTAGACATGGTATCCCTGTAAGCCCCAGCTGTCCTAGAACTCACTATATAGACCAGGCTGGCCTTGAACACACAGCAATCCACCTGTCTCTGCCTCCTGAGTGCTGGGATTAAGGGCATGTGCCACCATGCCCAGCTTGGAGATGAGATACTAAAACCACACTCTGGGTAAATTATTTTAGGATTTCAGAAATGACCAGGCATCATGAGATTTTTGTTTGACTCTTGAGACAGGAAGCCATGTAGCCCAAGCTTGTTTCAAATTCACTAAGTAGCCAAGGATTACTTGAACTTCTGATCCTCCTGCCTTCATCTCCTGAGTGCTAAGATTATAGGTATGTGCCACCACACCCAGCTCATATCGTGTTGGGGATGGAACCTATGGCTTCGTGCATGCTAGGCACGCACTTTGCCAACTGAGCTACATCCCTAGCCCTTGCTATGAGGTTTAAAGCACCTCAGTGATGCCGATGTATCAAGTGGTTGAGAAGCACTGTCAGAAGATGACTTCTATGAGTCCTGGTAGAAGAAAGAATCACTCAACAAACGTGATGATGTGATCATTGCGTCTCTTGATTGTGCATGACACATCCTACCCCAGTGGAGATGAACTGTGTGGGAATAAGTTATAATATGGACATGCTCTAAACAAAAGACTTTTACTTAACCTTACAACCAAAACATTAATCTTATCCTAGCTTGTTTATAATGTAGACAAGCTCACCGAGCCTTGTGCTTCCCTTGTGATCTGGGCATATAACTTTAATCCCTCATGACCCTTCCTTGCCCTTGACCCAGAATAATGAGAGAGAGAGAGAGAGAGAGAGAGAGAGAGAGAGAGAGAGAGACATATCAAATACTTTAAATAGTGGAGATTTGTTGGAAGCAGCAAAGATTATCCTATTTGTGTTGCAAACAATAGATGAGATTAAATTGATAACATTTGATTGTGGTTGTATGTGTGCTGTCCTAGGCCAATAAGGGTAAGCAGGGAAAAAATCCTCCTCCTCTGATAAGGTTCTGGTTTTACTTCTCCATTTTATGCTGGATATACTGTTTCAATAAAAGAAAAGAGTGAACCCTGTTCAAGAGCACGGTTCTGAGAGTAATCTAAAGGTTCCCTCTCAGTTAAAATGAATGTCTTTACTCAAGCATTGCTGTAATGTGGTATCGTGGAGTAAGAACTATGGAGCTGAATTTAAGACCTGAACTTCAAACAGAATGCATATAATCCTATCATGCTGATCTTTACTGACGCCTCATGATGTTACAGCAGTACTTTATAGACACAGAACAAATGCCTCTTAGCTCGTACCTGGTTGCAAACAGCTCATTTGACCAGAGAACAAATTATTAAACATTAAACAAACATACTCGTTTTTGTATATAGAACCTTCAGTTGAAAAAAATGCCTCTTGTGAAACATTATTTTGCTGCCTCACCTGTGTTTCTTTACAAGGTTGGAAGGAGAAGTTCTGCAGGACTTTAGTGATAGCGAGTTTCATGTTCATGAGCGCAAACCTCATGCCAATGCAGTTCCGGGGTCCATTTCCAAAGGGCAGGTACACGTAAGGATCGATGCTACCCTTGTTCTTCTTGCTGAACCTGGTGATATAACAGTAGATGAAATGTTACGAAGGATAAAAGCCATAAGAGCTGCCAGGCATGGTGAAGAAACCTTTAAACTCAGCACTTGGGAGGCAGAGGCAGGTATATCCCTGTGAAATTGAGGCCAGCCTGGTCTACATAGTGAGTTCCAGGCCAGCTGGGGCTACAGGAAGACCCTGTCTCAAAAAAATGCAAAAATTTTAAGTCACAAGAGCCACATATTTTGAGCTGTGCCTTAGACATCCTAACCAGTAGTATACAGATAGTCTTTGCAGGGGCTCACTGTACTCCTAATGACAGTATTTGGCTATGAGAATTGCACACTAAGTCCTTTTCCACCTCCATTTACCCTGTAAGAACTTCCACATGGTTGAGACGGATGCTGTTGGAAAAGTACATCTTCATGTGCCCACTGGTGTAAAGTGGCATGACTCTTATGGGGATAACCAACCACTTTCTGCCTGGATTTGAGGGCTGCTCCACAGAGGGAATTCATGCTCTAAATCCAGTCAAAAGTCTATAACTGGAGAGGTTATAAAAATTAGGGGGGGGGGAAGCTACTACTGTTATTTTGCTAAATGAACAGGGTGTCAAACTGCCTTCTAAATATTTACGATTTGCACTGTTGTCAGTCTTGAGAAGCTTCTGTTTGCAACAGGGGGTGGTCAATGCAGAGACTCATAAATGGTCAAAGCACTGAGAATAAGTGACTGTTGAGTGCTCAGGCCTAAACTGGACATCTATATCACCATCTTCAAGGCTCGAGGAACATCACAGAGTAGGAGGCAAAAAGAATGTAAGATGAGATGGAGAGCCATCTTCTGAACACAAGACCATTGCACTCAGGAACTCAAAGAGGGTGTGGTTACCTGCACAAGATATGCTCAAAACTAGGCCCACTGTCATATCATCATGAATGGGTGAGGAGCTCATGAGGCCCTCCCACCCCTCCCTGAGGAGCTTTTGGCAATTAATGGTTATTGGAGGAGGGGAGTCTTTCTTCAGTGGTGGAGCCACTGGTAAATTTTCCATGCTGCAGTAAATAACCCCCACCCATTAAGCAACTTTAGTTAAACTTGGTGAGTCACAAGAAAACAAAACAAAAGATATAAAAACAGGAGGGGAATTTGTTGAGACTAAGAACGGATTCAGTATGAGAGGGAGAAATGAGACAGGATAATGTAAGGTGAAATGGACAAAATATATTATATACATGTATACATGTTAAAGAATAAAAAGAAAGAAAAAAATACATCTTTAAACACTACCATTCCATTCAAGATAATGATAGGCTTCTACTCTGAAAAGCACATAGTGATTAGATAGATTGAAGGAAGATGGGTTCCCATCTCACACCCAAATCGGTCATTTACTATTAGAGGAAGGAGGAGAAGAGCCTGTCAGTGTTTAAATTGACATGTTCCCATCCTGGGTGTCTTCTCCTCCCCTCTCTTTTTCTCCCTTTGTCATTCTCCTCACAGAATGCCAATGAATGCAAAATCATATTTGTATCATCTCCTGGAAGAGACATCATAGCATGTACAAGCCAGTGTGGTTCTGAGTACGTTCCCTTTCCTGGGATCTCTGTACCTCTCAGGGCGGAATTCCTCAGGCTCTGGCCAGTACTTTGGGTCCCGATGGAGAGCAAAGGCTGGAGCTGCCACTATTGCCCCTTTGGGAATAAATAATCCATCGAGCTCAATATCTTTTTTACAGGCCCTCTCAATTCTGTTAGCAATTGGATACAATCTGAGTGTTTCATTCAGCACCATGTCCAGATACTCCATCTCCATCACAGTATCGTAGGTGGGAAGTACCTGGGAAGAAAAAAACAGTTTTTGGTTAAGATTTGGAATTAACTTTCAATTCAGTCAGCATTGTACTGTTGAGTTGTTAGCAACTCCAAAGTTGATTCAGATACCATGGATCGTCCCTTGGTTTCTTTCTGTCTAACTTTAAACAGAGAGTCTCTACTCTGAGTCAGAGCTGAGTCAGCCTGTCAAGCCCAGTGAAGGACAGCCTTGCTCAGCGGACAGCTGGACCAGAGAAGATCCAGAAATCTCATCTAACCATCCAGAGAGTTGAGTGATTAATGCCTATTCTTAAATGTCACACAGATTGTGCATGTGTCTTACTTGGTATCATTGTGGTCATAGATAAGAGATACATCAAGGCCAGCACTATATCACAATGATCTTATATTTCTTTGAATAGGATTTATTTCCTATGTTTCTCCTTTTCTTAATCTTTTTAGAGCCTTCCTCAATAGTACTGGGGACCAATGCTTACCCTCTCCATAAAAATGATCAAGGGCTGCTGAGATGGCTCAGTGAGTAAAAGCATCTGCCACAAAGTCTGTTGACCTATTTTGGTCCTCAGAACTCACATGGTGGTGGAAGGAGAGAACTGACTCTGACAGGTTGTCTTACAACCTCCGCACACATGCGCCCCCCCAACATACAAATAAATAAATAAGTAAATAAATAAAATTATCATTGTAGAGCTGGAAAGATCACTCAGTGGGCAAGAGTGCTTGCTACGCAAGTATGAGGGCTTGAGTTCAGATCCCCCAGAATCCATGTAAAAGCCAGATGCAGTAACACAGGCACAATCCCAGCATTCCTACAGTAAAATGGAAGACAGACACAGGAGAACCCCAGAGGCTCATAGGCCAGCTAGCCTGAAATTCCCATCAATGAAAAACAAAGAGACCCTGTCTCAAACAAGGTAGAAGGTTAGGACCAACACCCAAGACTGTCCTCTGACCTCCACATATGTGCTACAATGAGAGAGAGAGAGAGAGAGAGAGAGAGAGAGAGAAAGGAGAGAGAGAGGAGAGAGTGGAGAGAGAGAGGAGAGGAGAGAGAGAAGAGAGAGGAGAGAGGGGAGAAAGGAGAGAGGAGAGAGAGAGGAGAGAGAGAGATCATTGCAGATGATGAGAAGGCATCTTTATCTAAACTCCTCTTCCCTCCCTCTCCAGGTACCATCCCCTCACCTTATTGGGCAGAGCTGCATCAATCTCCTCCTGCAGTTTCTTCTGGATATCAGGGTGAGTGGCCAGTAAATACATGACAAAGGAAAGTGTGCTGCTGCTGGTCTCATAGCCAGCAAAAATAAAGATCACTGACTGGGCTATGATCTCCAAATCAGACATAGCTATGAGAGAAAATATTTTAAGTAAGGCAGGTCAGTGTAGAACATCACAGATGAGATGAAGCTCCCATTTCCCTAGAGGTTATGGAAGAGTCATTAAGTCACGCTGGGACTGGTGATCTCTGTGGTATCTACTGTGCTATCTAAAAGGGAAGACTGCTTCAGTCAGGTTGTTCCAAGGGTTATACTTCTGTTCTTCATCGCAGAAAACTCACCACCACCACCAGTGGAAGACTTCAAGATATAAAGTTTCTCTTTTTTGAAGATTTATTTTCATTTTTATTTACATATATATGTATGTGCACATGTGAGTGCAGTGCCCAAAGAGACCAGAGGAAGGGAGCTGGAATTACAAGGCAGTTGTAAGTTACTGGATGTGGGTGATGGGACCTGAACTCCAGTCTTCTGGAAGAGCAGCAAATGCTCTTAACCACTGAGCCAGCTCTCCAGTCCCAAGACAGAATTTCTTTCTCTCTTTTTTTAAAGATTTATTTTATTTTTATTTTTGGGTGTGTGCACATGTGTGTGAGTGCCCATGGAAGCCAGAAGAGGGCGTTGGATCCCCTGGAGCCGGAGTTACCAGCAGTTGTTAGCCACCATATAGGTGCTAGGAATCCAAACCTGGATCCTCTGTTAGAACAGCAAGTGCTCTTAACCACTGAGCCATCATTCCAGCCCTCCAAAACATAGAATCTCTATCTACAGGAGCCAGGGATATGGCTCAGTGGGTACAGTGTTTGCTACACAAGCCACATGTGGCTGCAACTGTGACCCTAGTACTGGGGGCGGGCAGGGGCAGGAGGATCCTTGGGGCTTGATGGCCAGCTGAGGTCTAGCTGATTCAGTAAGAGACCCTGCCTCAAAATACAAGGGGTGGAAAGCAATGGAGAACCCTAATGTTGACCTCTGGCCTTCACACATCCCCATATGGGCAAGCACACATGTACAGACATGTGCACATGCATACATAACTACATACAAAAAAAGAAAAAAATAGTATCTACCTGACCCATACACAGCGTTATCCTCATGGGTCTTGGATAATTATAAACACGCATTAGCGGGGCTGGAGAGATGACTCAGTAGTTAAGAGTGCTGACTGCTCTTGCAGGGGAGCCAGGTTCAGTTCCTAGCACCCAAAAGGAAGCTAACAACCACCCATAACTCCAGTTCCAGGGATTCCAATGCCCTCTTCTGGTCTCTATGGGCATTGCATGCACATACGTAAATGCAGGCAAAACACTCATACACATAAAATAAAAATACATAATTTTTTTTAAAACATACATTAAGTAGAATAGGATCTAGCTTGGTACATGAAGAAAAATCTAAATTAGTCTAGCTGAAATATACCTGGAAAATTGTTAAGGTTTGACATAACAGTGCCTCATTGTATGGGAAATTGAAGGGTCTTTCATTTAAACATACCTGAGAGAATTACATGGATCCATACTGGGCTACAGAGAACTCTCAGTACTCCAGTGTGGCCCATGGACCAACAGTATCATCTGCATCTGTGAGTTTACTAGAATTACACATATCAAACCTACCCTAGAGTGAATCTATCAACCCAAAATCTGAACTTCCATTAAATGTGGATATTTCTTTGCACAACCTCACTTAAGAAGCAAGAGTTCTTTGACAGACATCACTCCATGCCTCCCCAAAATATCTGTGATTCTGACGATGGTAACTTCTTTCACTCAGTTAGCATAAGTTCCATACTACAGAATTGCAATTGGACTATAAACCCAGAATTAAGAACTATATTAAAATTTTATGTCTATTTTAGCAATCCAAAATGAACCATAAGGGCTCGAGATGTCTAGCTCAGGTGATAGCATCCTTGCCTAGCATATGCAAAGCCCTGGGGTCTATCCCAGCACTTTGTAAACTAAGCAAGGTGGCATGCTCCTGTAATCCCAGCACTTAGGAGGCAGGATCAGAAGTTTAAGGTCGTTCTAGGGTACATAGTGAATTGTAAGGCCAGTTTGGGCTACATGAGACCCTGTCTCAAAAGAAAGAAAACACAGAAGAAGAAAAACAGAAGAACTTGAACTTGATAGGTCACGTGAAAGGGTTTCAAGTGGACAAACACAAAATACATGATGACTTTTAAAAAGTAAATTTAGGGGACTGGAGAAATGGTCCAATGGTTAAGAGCACTCACTGGTTCCTCCTGCAGAGGACCTGGGCTCTGTTCCCTGCACCCACATGGTGACTAGCAACTGTCTATAACTCCAGTTCCAAGGAATCTGATACCCTCTTCTGGCATCTTCAGACATTGCACAACATGGGTGCACTTACATACATGCAGGCAATACATTCATACACATAAAATAAAAATAAATTTTTTTAAAGTAAACTTGTGGATATGCAAGATCATACTGATATAAATAAGTGAATATACACTGAAGAGATGGCTCAGTGCTTAGGAGCACTGGTTACTCTTGCAGAGGACCCAAGTTGGGTTCCCAGAACCACATGGTGGCTAACAACCATCCATAACTCCAGTTTCAGGGAATCTGGCACCCTCTTCTGACCTCCATGGGCATTGCATGGGTGTACTTACATACATGCAGGCAATACATTCATACACATAAAAATAAATAAATAAATTTTTTAAAAAAATAAGTGGATGTACAAGGAATGAACAAATTGCTAAGAATGGAACACTTCCTTTACCTTGCGTCCTGACTCATGCATATAGACCAGAGGTTGGAATTGGAAAGTCATTATTTTCCAAACATAGTAGTAATCATGGTTTTAAACTTCTTTAACCCATAGACTGGAGGCTGGGGAGATAGCTCACTGGTTAAGAACACTTGCTGTATACACAGGAGAATCTGAGTTCAACTCCCCAACACCCATGAACAAAAGCCACACGTCCCTGTAACCCTAATGTTGTGGGCAGCAGATACAGGAGGATCACCGAGGCCTGGCTCCAGGTTCAGTATGACATCTGGTCTTAAGGGAATAAGGCAGGGTGGTAGGGAAGGACACCTGACATCCTCCTCTGACCTCCGCATGTGCATGCATGGGTATGCACACCTGTGCATACACGACACCGAAAAGAGAGACAAAAAAATCCATAGTGGATAAAGCCCATGTGGAAAAGAATGACTAGGATTGTGATATTTAAGCAGTCACAGAGGCTTACCCCAGGAGCTGCTTATACAAGGAAAAAATAAATCTTTACCACAGAAAAAGTTAGTGAGCACACGTTCACTGGGTGCTTCTGGGGAATAGCAGCACGGTTGGATATGTGCCTCCTCATAGATGTCTAGATTCAAATGTCTTTGCAGAAGTTCTGATTCAACGTACTGGAGGAGACTGAGAACTGGCACTTGTGTTCACACAGGTGACACACAGACCACCAAAGACTTTCATCATGGCTACCCTTCATGTTTGGAACAAACAGCATATGCCCAGAGGATCCTAGAAAATTCTGTGTGTATAATATCCATGTTTTTCTGTAACTTGGCAGAAATGTTGCTCTGCCTAGAAAACCTCCCAAACATTTTCTCAGCTGCCAACCCCTCCCTCAGAGCTCCCTTGTCCACAGACTAGGAAACCCTTGGATACCTTTGTGAGATTCTTTGTCTTTGGTATTATTATGAGCGTTCATCATCAGCTGAAGAAAATCCACTCGGTGCTGGAAGCAGAAAGAGATTTCCAAGACAGAAGGTCAATGGTGAGGTCAGAGGTGAATCGGGAGTAGAAATAGCTGCCGCCTTGACTCTCTTAGGAAGAAGTCCCAGACTTCAGTCTTTTCTCCACCTTCCTTGTCTTAACCAATGGACCCTTAGACGAACCAACTCCCATTTCCAGAGCTCAGTTCCAAGTTTTGGAACACTTCACACACTCAGCATTTCCAAGACCACTACAAAATCCTAAATGACATGAGGGTTACCCGTCCTTCCTCTCTGGCCTGTAGACAGCCTTGTGTAATCTCTAAGACATATACATCAAAGATAAGCTGCATCCCCCAATAGCCAAAGAGCACCTTCCCTCAAGGGAGATCAAGAGAGACCCAAATTTGACACAGAATCCAACAGGTCTGATCAGACTCGCTATGTGTCAAATCAAAGGCTTAGAACTGAAATGATTTCTTGACAGTAGAAGTTCTGGAGACATCCTAATTACAGTAAATACAGTTTTAAACAGTAATTTTCATTCTTTAACAATGTTTTGAAGGAAAGGGAAATGGCAAAGTTTTTCCCTATTTAAACCTTTTTTACTTATTCTTGGAGAACTTCATACATATATAAAATGAAATATTATATGCACCCCACATTTCCTCTGTCCAAGTCCCTCTGGATCTTACATAGCATGTCCCCTCCCACCTTCATGTCCTCTTCTTTTCTTTTTAATAACACACTAAGCCGAATTAGTGCTACCCATGTGTACATGGGTGTGGTGCCTTCCACTGGGGCATGATCCACCTACCAGGAGCCACAGCCCTGAACAAAAATGACTCTTCCTCCCCAAGCAGTTATTCACTACCAATAGCTCCTCAGGAAGGATGGGACCTCATGAGCCCCTCCTCCATCCATGCTGGGGCATAGACTGGTTTGATCTACGAGTGGCCACACCCTCAAAGAAGATGGAGTCTCCCTTCCAAAGAAACTATCAATTGCTGACAGTTCCCGAGGAAGGGGTGGGGCTTTGAGAGCTCCTCTCCCATCTATGTCAGAACTCGGCTGGCTTGATCTTGTGCAGATCTTTTGCTCTGTGGATTTATTTCCATCCTTATGCATGCCATAGGAGTTTTCGTTCCTACTGTTAAGGGTTAACCTCTGGCTCAGCTTCAGTTGGATTCCCTAAACCCTGCCTTCTTCCTTCCCAAACAAATATACCTCTCTTTAAACTTAGCATTCTCTATCTACCTTTAGCCAAATGCAGAAACAACACAGATAACATGGTCATAGCCCAACACATTATCCAAATATGGAACTCCCATGACACCACCACCATATTTTACCTTCTGCTTGGAATCAAGGCGATTTTCCTTCGTGCTGTTCACAAATTTTTTGATAAATGATAAAGAATCCTTTGGGAAAAGGGAGATATTTAACATCTCATACACTGGAGTGAGGAATGGAAAGACAACTGGAAAGAAAAGACAAAAATATAAGCCTGAATGAAAAGTGCAAGTTTCATCTAGATAAATTATCCTTATCTGAAACCATCAGAAGAGTCTCATCAGTGTCTCAACTGGAAGCCCTTCCCTCTATGACCTCTGCTCAGGCTCCCGGCCACTGGCTCTGCACACACAGGGTCACTACCATATGGGGAAGCCAGTGAGCCCTTCTGTACTTTGGCGTGATCAAAGGAAGAAGGCTGCATTTCATGACCTCTGACCCTCTTTTCTATTGGAATGAAATCTTTGGGGCAAATCAGACCATATCCTACACCTATAATTCATGTGGGTCGAGAGAAAACAGTCTGGCTGGACCTGGTAGTACACACCATTAAATCCAGGCTCAATTAGAGGTGTCCCAAATCCAGAGAGAAAGCAAACCTCATATTCTTCCTCACATATGCACCCCCAACCTATAATATGTGCATATAAATATGTAAGCAGGTGTAAGTATGAGTATAATGTAACATTTAGAAAGATCAAGAGGCAGTAATATTGGGTGATGAGGAAGGACAGAATGCAAAAGGATGGGTCATGAAAAGAGATAAAGCTAATGTGTTCTAGCTTCAACTCTGTCATAGCTCTTTCTTTTTGTGGTGAATAAGTGTGCAAAATAGGGTCTGGAGAGATGGTTCAGCAGTTAAGAGCACTGGCTGCCCTTGCAGAGGACCCATGTTTGATTCCCAAAACCTACATGGTGACTAACAACCATCTATATCTCCAGTTCCAGGGGATCCAACACCCTCTCCTGACCTCTGCGGGCATTGCACAACACGGGTGCACTTACGTACATGTAGGCAATACACTCATATACATAAAATAAAAATAATAAATAAAATTATTTTTTAAAAAATAAATATATAAATTGGGCGTGGTGGCACACACCTTTAATCCCAGCACTTGGGAGGCAGAGGCAGGTGGATCTCTGTGAGTTCAAGGCCAGCCTGGTCTATATAGCAAGTTCCAGGCCAGCTGGGGCTACAGGGAGACCCTGCCTCAAAAAAGACCAAAAACAAAAAACATAACTTTGCACGTAATGTTCAAAGTGGTGAAATTCACAACACATGGAGTAGTCTGAATGTCCACCAACCAATATGGAGTATTATTTGTTCATGGAATAGGGAAATAATGATCCTTGTTTCATTGATAAAATGCTGCTAAATGAAAGAAGTCAGTCACAAAAGGCCACATAATGCATGATACCATTGATTTGAAGTGCCCAGAATAGGCAAAGTTACAAAAAGTGAATTGGTGGTTGTTTATGTGAAGCCTACTTGAAGGATGATAGTGAACAGTCCAAGGTTTCTCAGTGGACAGTGTTCTACAGTTGACACTGGTATTGTGCCCCATGGGGCAGCAGTTTTTGCAGAGACTCATAACTGGTCCAAGTGCTGAGAATAAGTGACTATGAGTGCACAGCCCTAAATGGGGCATCTCTATCAAGAACCCCCTCCTCAGGCTCAAGGAACCTCACAATGGGGCATGGAAAGAACGTAAGAGCCTGAGGGTAGGGAGGAGAGCTGTGCGCTGCTGTCCTCTGGAGATGACATGGCCCCTGCACGCATGAACTCAATGCAGCTGTGGTCACCTGCACAAGGCCTGCACAAGAACAAGGTAGCAAGATCAGTCGGCATTCCAGCAGGCAGCAATAATCAAACTCTGTGGGTTACAAAAAAAGGAGAGGACATGAAAATGGGAGGGAGGCGTGTTAGGGCATCTAAAGGACATGGGAGGTGGGAATTAGGTGGGTATACTCAAGATATATTTTATACATGTGTGAAATTATCAAAGAATAAATAAAAGAATTCAAAACAAAAGGAAATGAGCCAAATGTCTTTGAATGCATTAAAGACATTGAATTGTACAGGTTAAGAGCGTGAACACGTGGCAGGTGAATTATATATCAACAGCGCTAATACTTTAGAGGAAATGTGGAAGAGAAAGGCAGAAAACTAGTGCACATAGAAACGGACAAGAGCAATGGATCAAAAGGCAGAAGAACCAGTGTACATACCAACTGAAAAAAGCAATGGATTGAAAAAATCAAGTCTTAAGAGCTTCTTGGCTTTTTCCACAAAGGGATCCTGCGGGTTGTTGAGGGAATCAACACTCACTCCAAATGCGGTGCTAGTGATCACATCCATGCTGTACGCCCCAAACATGCTGAGTAAAGAGAGAGACATGGGAGTTAACATCTGCACCTCTTCCTCATCCTGCTACATATGCAGCAAGAAGGCTGAGAAAATTCATACGCCAGGGCACATGGTAAAGAAGATAAGCTAGGAGAAGCCGTTCGCTGTCAGAACTACCTGCTGGACCATCTCACAGTATGCCCCTATCACACTCACTCATGAGGCCATCATCTAGGGCTTGGATTGCAGATGTCTCTAGCTGGGAGTGATGGACACACTAAAGTGAATTAGATTCATCATTGTGACCAATGAGTGTAGTCACAAGAGAAAGATACCCCTAGTCAGACAAACTGTAACAGCATGTAGGGTATGGCTAACAAGCAAGCACTACGATTCTACAGAACGACAGTGAAACCAACTCTTCCTACAGCACTCAAGAAAAGGCATATTAATCTAGGTCTGCCTCTCCATGGATTCTGTGCCCAGAGCTGATTCATATTCTGTTCACTGTGTGTGGATCTGTGTGTTTGTGTTTGTATGTGTCCAGGTATATATGTGCATGTGAGTGTGGAAACCAGAGGTCAATCTGAGATGTCTTCCTTGTTTGGTTGTTTTGTTTATTTTTGTTACATTTATTTACTTACTCAATGTGTGCATATGTGTGTATGTGTGGGTGTGCATGCCACAGCATGTATGTGGACATCAGAAGATAACTTGTATCAGTTGTCTTCTTCTACCATGTGAGTCCTGGGGACCAAACTTGGGTCTTTAGGCTTTAATCCCAGCACTCAGGAGGCAGAGGTAAGAGGATCTCTATGAAATCAAGGCCAGCCTGGTCTACATAGTGAGTTCCAGGCCAGCTGGGGCTACAGGGAAATGCTTTCTTAAAAACAAAGCACATTTGCTCATTCATTAAAGGAGGGTCAAGCAGGGTCATTGGACCCTCACCGGAGTATCCAGTCACTCTTCCCAGCCAACTGTATGTAATTTGGCCCTAATCACACATGGTCTCCTGTATTTGGGGAGGGCTAAAGTATATAATCTGGGGAAGGCTAGGAAGAGAAGGCATGACCCATGCTGGGTAAAGGCTTTCCAGTGTGCATAGCCTCAGGTCATACATGCACCTCAGCAACCCCTAGTTATCTCGGTAAGTAAGCTCAATAAATTCACTGGTTCCCCAGTAAAACTTTAATCAAATATTGGCTCGACACTAGAACCTTAAAAGGGAATAAGCATTGCTTAGCATCCCCGGAAAAGAAGTCTCGCAACAGATGGAAAATTTATTTGTTAATGCTATTATGTCTCATAATTATTTAAAAAAGAAAATAATGTAAAAGATGTTAAAAGGACATGGGAATGGAGATATTTTCCAAAATAGAAAAAATGA